ATCAGGGCAGAGGCAGCCAGCCTGGAGGAGAGCTAGCGAGGGCTCTGGGGCAAGAGCAGAGCAGATTCTTACGACTTCATTGAGCAGGGCTGGACCCCTGTGCCTGGTGCCGTAGCTTTACAGATACACACACACACACAGCCCCCACCCCCCACGCCCCAATGTCAGTATGAACTCTAGAACCAGACAATCTGCTTCACCTCTGTCTGTCTCTTATCAGTCGACTAGGCCTGGGTAATTTTCCCAATTTTCTGTGCCTCTGTTTCCTGTCTGTAAAATGGGGGTAATAGATATATTTGGCTTCCTGGGTTGTTGTGAGGATTAAGTGAGTTGATACACAGCTCCTGAGTATACCCCCAGAGAGGACCCCTTCCCCAGGTCTCTCAAGGTTCACTGGGATGTGTGTGGGTGGTGTGGGGAGGGGCTCAGAAGGAAAGATGCCTCAAGTCATCTTTCTACCCCGCCCCCCCCACATGGAATCTGAAGGAACTGTGGGGTTGCTGAGTGGGGAACCCCTCACCCCCAGGGGAACTTTGCAGTTCCTGGCCTGAGAAACAAATCAGAAGAAATCTATGTAGAAGGAAGACACCCTCCTCCCCACACCCCATCTAGAGATGCGAGCCTCAAGAGGGACTGGGGTCCTGACATCCCAGGGACCCCAAATGCCACCGAGCCTCCCAGAGGGCAGAAGGTAGGTAGAAGGAAGGCGGTGGGAAGAGGAGGTTCAGCCTAGGGACCTGGCCCGGGGTATGGAGGAGGCCCAGCTGCAGGAGCCAGACCCACCTCTGTTATCTCTGAGGCGCCAGGAGGCCTGTGTAACAGGGAACCAGATTCTGCCAACTGGTTAAATTTCAGGCTCCCTCCAAATACCCGGGCTGTGTTGGGTTGGGTTGAGTAAACAGGCCAGGCAGGGACAGGTGCCAGTGACCACAGCCTCATTTGTCTGATTTGGCTTCTACTGACTCTCTGGACTCGGCCAGCCCGGTCCCTTCACTCTGAGCATGCTCGAATGCCCCTCTAAGCACCGGAATCTCAGAGATGCTCAGAGAAGCCCAGAAAACCTCAGAGAAGCTCTGAGTCACTTGAGGACAGATGGGAACCAAGGAATGGGGACAGAACAAGATGCAGGTGCCCATTCTTCAGGGATGCAGAAGAACCTGACATGACCCACGGCTCTGCCCATCGATTGCAGGAAGTTCCCTACACTTCAGGTTCGGGGACTTCCATGGTGGCCACACTGCCCCACGGAAGAGAGGAGGATGAATGAGTAGCTAGGACAGAGCTCCTGGGTGCCCCAGAGAGAGCACAAGTGTGGGATGTGCCCTGGGGAGTCAGGAGTCCTTACCTATGTGGTTGTCTTCTTGCCAATTCTGCCTTCTGTAGCCAGAGGCTAGGACAGAAGAGCGGGTGTGGGCAGGATTCCACAGCCCATGGTGGGGGGTTGAGGGCCTGAGTCTGTACACATACCACTGAGCAAAAAATAGTAACAATTTTCCAGATACTTCAAAAGAAAACTCTGACACCAGTCACACCTCAGGTAATTCCAAATATCTGCTCGGCCCCTTCCTCCATCTGTCCTCCTCTTCTTCAACAAGCATTATGGGTGACCCACTGTCATGGAGAGGCCAGGAAGGGCTGGAGTGACACAGGGGGGCCTTGGGGTCTCAGGTGGACTCCATGGGGAGAAATGGTAGAGGTCATGGGGCACAAGTAGTGATAGAGGAGATACAGGAGGGGATCAAGGGCCACAGAAAAGGATCAAGGGACTATGTGATGAGTTTGGAAGGGACAGAGAATTTGGGAACCCAAATCAGGGACAAAGGGGGCAAATATGGTGTCATTTCCAAAGTCGGAGCTCTTGGGAACTAGGCAAGATTTGAAAGTGGATAGGCAGGAGCTGAGGTGATCAGGGAGAAGCACAGAGGACATAGTTAGGGGTTTGGGGACTAACCGTAGCAAGCATCTTCCCTGTAAGCCATTCCCAGCCTTGAAGAGAAGAAATGCAGATAAAGACTGATATCAGGAGGAGGAGGAACAGGAGACCAAGACGTTTTACCAAGAGTAGCTTCTGAGCAATGAGGAGTTGATGGCCAAGTCTAAGATCTGCTCCCAGGAGAACGTTTGCAGGAAGCCCACCCAAGGTCCATGCATACAGGAAGCCAGCAGGGCCGGCGCATGCCCAAAGTACCCACTGTGTTCTAGGTGACCTCCTACTCAGTGTTCCCACCCCATGCACCTGCTTTTGAGGATCTCTCAGGACTCCTGGAGCGAAAGGTCTAGAAATCTGTTTGGCCATGATGGGGCCAACCAAGCTGCCATGGCTGGCAGCCTGTCCCCGCCCTGCAGGAGCCCTGCAGAGGGAGAGCCTTGGGTGAACCCAGTGCTCCCTTGCTGGAGATGAGAGAGCAGTTTGGGGCCAACCTGCAGCCTTCCCCTCTGCCCCCACGAGCCCTGGTCAGAGCGGTGTGGGAGTAGGACTCACACCGACCACCGTCCTCTCCTCGCGCACGCACATCAGCCAAGGCTGATTCTCCTTCAGAATCACCTGGAGGAGTTTGTTCTAGCAGCAGCCATAGTGAGGGATCACTTACGTCAAACTTCATGTATGACTCAGTGACTTTTAGTAAATATACAGCTGTGCAGCCATGGCCACAACGGAGTAGTAGACTTTCTGTCATCCCCTCAGTATCCCATTTACTTGGGGGACTTTGACTCAGTGCTCTGGGGTGGGCCTGGGAATGTGCATTTGAACAAGAATCTGGGACAGTGGTGTTTGGGGACATACTGGACCCAGCCACAGTTGGGAGGGACCTTTCCACCGTGCAAACTGGGGGCACAGTGCTTCTGCTTGAGACCCCCAAGCGGCTCCTGGACAATTGTGTGGAGCTCGGGAGGTAAAAAGCAGATAGTGCTCTGGCACAGTTCTAGCACTTCACATGGGTTGCCCTCAATCCACATGCCCACCCTCCAAGGTAGGTACTATCAAGCTTCCCACTGTGCTCTGAGGAAACCAAGACGAGCAGGGAGTGGCGGGAGTGGGTTCTGAGCCCAGGCAGCAGGCTCCGCACCCTGAGCCTCCAGGGCAGCTCATGCATGGTGGGCTAGGAGTCGCCCTGCTCTCCAGCAAGACCTGACCTCCGTGGCTTCCTCCCCTGCCCCCACTCCTCTGGACTTCAGCCCAAACAGACCATCCTTTCTTGCCTTTGAGCCTTTGCGCAAGCTTTTCTTCCCACCTCAATCAACGTGCATTCTTTTCTGCTGCAAATTCCTAGCTATGTTTCAAAACCCAGCTTTAGTGTCATCTCCTTGCGATCCTTTGTACCGCTCCCCAGACCACCTTAACTGTGCCTGTCCCTGGGTTTCCGCTGCGACTCAATCTCATCTCAGTGAAGGAGTGATTCTTTTAATGTGGCAACTCATGCTGTGTCCCCAACTTGACTGTGAGCTCTTTCCCTGGGTAGGCGCAGCCTTGTGTTTATCTCCGCCCTTACCATGCCTGGTGCATATAACAGCAATGGCCCCGCCAGGAGCGGGGACTGCCCTGCCAGCTCCTTTAGCCCCCAGCCCCGAAGGGTCCTCTCCTGGGGCGTCACAGCCCTCTCCCCCCTGGCTTGCGCTGTGACGTTTAATCTACAGAGGACCACATGTCTCAAACTGCAGAGGCGATGTGGGTGCATTCTCCTCTCTAGCTTGAGTGCTGCCAAACCCTCCATTACATAGTGGGGCACTCAGTAAATGCTTGGAGGAAAGATGAGTGTGCAAGGGAGTGCATGAGGTCCCAATCTCCTAAGTTCCCTGACAAGGACTCTGTCTGATTCACAGCCTCTTTTCACTTATTGATGCCTGGATCTTTCCTAACTCCACTTATGCAGGAGGTTAATTCAAGTGTTTTCCAGCTTAGCAAGCAATAAACAATTTGGTGTTGCGGCCAGTTGTTCTGCGTGTCATATTTATGGATTGGAAGTGGGGGAGGGGTTGGGGGCCTTATTAAGTTCAGTGTTACAGGGAATGTTACATGCCCTTCCTTAATTACTTTCTTCCCTTTAATTAGATGTTGAAGGGAGGCATGCCCCAGGGAGGAGGGCTGAAAGTCACTACAGAGAAGGAAGGTATTGGTGGCATTCTGCCATCCTGCCATGGACAATAGCATCTGTGGGGGTCAGCTGGGGGAGGGGGTCATCCTCTATAGAAGGGACCCCTGCAAACAGAGAATTTTGAGAGCATGGCTCACTCCTTGCTGTCTCTAGGGTCCTTCTCCCCAGGGCCCCTGTTCTCCCTCCCAGTTTCTTTTCCTACCTGCTGGGAGATGCCCAGCCTCCCCCTGCTGCACATGCACCCTCTTTTGGACTCCACTCAGAGGTCACAGGATGAGCTATTATCTGTGACACATATGTCCTTTGTCATGCATAGTGTGGGGATCCTGGGCACCTCTTCCCCAGCCTGGAAGGAAGGCCAAACCAAGAGTGAGACCTTCTCCCCAGTACAAGTCTATCATCATACCCCATCTTCCTGGAGCATGCCTGAATCCCCAGCTCAAGGATGTCTGAACCAAGTACTAATGCACATAGACATAGTGCTAGGGCGTCCGGTTGACCTCGTTGAGCCTCTTGATCTCTGGGAAGCACTAACTACAGTCCTTGGTGAGTGAGTGCATGTCAGCGAGGATGAGTGTGAGAAAGCACAGCAAGCCCTGATCTTGCCCTGGCGCCACTGCGGCTGGAGTTGCAGTAGAGTTTCTGCAAACTGAGAGCATGAGCTGCTGCTTCCCAGAATGGACCAGAAGCCACAGGGGCAGCCAACGCAGCTGCTCTGGCTGCATCCAGCATCTGACAGCAGGGAGGGTTCCTCCAGGACCCAGTTGATGGGGGCCCGGCGGGCCCTCCATCCCTCACTCAGGCCGGCTCCCCGTGCCAAGCCTCTTCCTCTTTTCCCCACTGCCTGTGGGGAGATGAGCTCCAAACCCAGCCCATCTGCTGCATTTTTCTGAGACTCCCGAGACGATCCAATTCCACACACCAGATGGGAAATAGCATGTACATTTCGGATGGTGATTAGTGTTTTTGTTTTTTTCCCCAAACGCTCGCGTTAATGGAGCTCCTTCCTGAAAGTAAATTGGAGAGACTTCAGTTTGATAGAGTTTCTTTGACCTCGACCTCCCTCTCCCTCCAAAGACATGACTTCTTTGGGGTGTGCACGTGGGGGCTTCTCTGCTCAGGTCATCACCTGTACTGACCAGGGGCTTACACTCTGCAGAGCAAAGATGGGCAGAGGCCAGGCCTGCCAGGTGGCCAGAGGACTCCATGGAGCCTAGAGGTTCCCAGGGCAAGTAACTCCAGGTGAGGGGTCCCCTGCTGATGCTGGGCCAGCAGAGCCAGCCTCTGTATAAGCAGCATTATACTCCCCCAAACCATGTGCACAGGAGTTGGATTTGACAGATGAATCTGGGCTTTTCTTGGGCTTATAACTTGAGAAGTTCATATATGATACCAAAATCTTAAGGGGTACAACTTGGTCTATTTCTACATTTGAACCAATGCATGGCACACAACAGAGCCAGAGGATGCGTGCTGAATGAATGGATGGGTGGATGAAAAATAAGATGGGTAAGTCAAGAATTTCTGTGCATGCAGTTATTTGCAACACCCATTTTCCTATATATTTGAAAATTTGCACACACACGTATACACATACAAGCACCTATAAACTTTCTCCCCTGAAACCAAGAAACTAAAATTCAGAAAATATATGCTTTATATTATACTTACCCATTTTTATATAATATATAAAAGCATATTTATATAACGTATATTAAATAAAAGACACGTTGCTGTACTTTTACATGTTGCCTTGCTCCGTTTTCATGAGAATGCTTTGGAAACGATGGTGTGATTCAGAAAAGTCTGGAAATATGACCAGGGGCACACACATAGCAAGCAACAGAGGGGGATTGAGCTCACAGGCCACAGGGATTCAGTAGCAGGTTTGGCGTGGAATCCAGTTCATGTTTTAAAAGGGCTCTACTCTCCCTGAACTGGGTGTTCTGGGGCCAGGGAGCTGATGCTGGGAGAGCTGTCACAAACAGGTGAGGAGAGTAGGTGTGCAGTAAGAAGGGTCTAGAATGTGGGTGGTGGAGAAAGAGAAGAGACACAGGCCTCTTGCAGGTGAAGCTGAGAGGGGAAGGAGACCAGCAGGACAGGGATGCCAGCCTCAGCAGATGAAATCTCCGGGAAAACCAGACTGGGCAAGAGGATTATGAGGGACACTTTGGGACCAGTGGGCTTGAGCGCTACACAGGTCATCCTTTGGAATGAGACTTTAGAGCTTGGAAAAGGGGTCAGAGTGGGGGGGTATAGATTTGGGAATTTCATTCTCATGGAGAACCAGAATGAGATCTCCTAGGAGAGTGCAGATTGTATGGGGCCTTACACAGGGGAGAGAGGAGTTGGGAGGAGGGTGGACTGAGGATGTGCCAAGACATGTGTTCGCGCATGTACTAAACACTCATATTAAGCATGGAACCATACTTACCTGTGTTTAAACACACTCAACGTGCTCACATGTGCATATAATGTGCATACACATCTACAAATACAAATATGTGTGTGTGCACACACATGCATACACCCACCTTGATAAAATGTGACAACTCCTAGCAGCAGAGGGACTGGATGAGGGGTCATGCAGAACCTCTTCTGAAGAGTGGCAGACAGCACAGCAAGGATAGGGCTCTTGATTTCTCAGCTCCTGGGGCCTGAGCAGAAAAAGGGGATTGTAAGGGAGTTTCAACAAGAGGGTGGTTCCCAGCCAGCTCATTTTTCTTGGGACCTTCACTCATCTCTGCAGCCTCCCCCAGTTCTGGGACAAAGGGCCAGCAGGTCAGCCTCCGCCCGCTGCAGGGTCTCCTGGTATGTCTGCTACGGGAAAGCACATCTCGTGTCTCCACAGATGGGACATTGCCACGTGGAATCAGTAGCCAGACAAGCTGGGCACCCCAACCCCAGCCTGCAGATGGGTGCTCACTTGATCTCAGTTTCCTAACCTGTAGAATGGGACAGTAACACCACTTGAGCATCTGAGGCAGCGCTCAGCAAATCTGGTGCAGAGCTGGGACTTGATCTCAGGTCTCTTGACCTTGGGTGACTTCCTTTGTGGCTTTCTAGATGTTTGTGATGTAGCAGTTCCAAATAGACCTATGAGGATGTTCAGCTGGATTTGGAGATGCCTTTCCTGCCACTTTGATCCAGACGTGGGGCAGAACCCATGTGTGTGCATGTGGATGTGCATGTGCACACACACGCCTGGCAGTCCAGGACACTGTCATCTGAGCCCTGCACGTTCATTTCAGTAATGGGAAATCGCAGAGTAGCCAGGAAGGAGGGGCAAGGCCATGCTGAGTATCACAGTCAGAGCCCACGGTGCCTTGCCATTAGAGCTAATGCCAGGCTCATGAATACCAGATGAATACGTTGCACAGACCAGCCACTTAGGCGAAAGTGGGGCTGCCTTTCTTTGGGAGAGAAATTCTCCACCCCGGGGAGGCTGGGAAAAGGCCCCTTTCCTCTCAACACATCTCAACACCCCCCTCCCCAGGGCTCTCTTTGGGGTGGCTGATAGCCATCTGGGCCTTCTGGGAGGCTGTTTAAAGGGAGAATCCTCAGGCGGCTGTGTTTCTGATGCCACTGCCTGCTCTCTGCTCCCTTATCCCCTCCCCACCAGCTCTTGCCTAACTACTAGGAGGGGTTGAGGGCTGCGTGCAGACCTGGTTCTGGCTTCTTAACAGCCTGGCTGTTCTGTGGGAGGTGCTAATTCCGGGGCTTCTGGCTGGCCTGGGCAGGGAGAGGGACCCTAGGCTGGGTAGGAGGCATAAGGAGAGCCTGCTGCCGGGTGCTGAAAGTCTGCCATCATGCCCACCATTGAGACCCCAGCCCTATTCTGGAAGTAAAGAACATTTTTGGAACTCACATCATTGAGGGGTAGGGTGGAAAGAGAAGCTATCTGGCCCACAGACCTGCCATGTGTCACCAACCAGCAGAGTCCAAGCCCCTTTGTCTAGAGACCTTCTCTCTGACTCCAGGAAGAGCCTCCTCACAGCACTGCCTGTCCTCACCACACCTGTATCACCCCTTGACTTAAATGATTTTTTTCCTGGTCATTAAATGCAAATAACCAGGAATGAAATCCTGTTCCATCTCAGGTGCTCCTGAAAGGATCAGATCATTTCCTAAAAGCAAGATGGTCTGGGATGAGGGAGACAGAAGCACAAGGTTACCCAAGGTGAAGAAGGAAGGAGGCAGGGCTACACCACTGTGAAAAGGGGGTTGCTCTCCAGGACCTTGTGGCTCCATGCTGCTCCTACTGGCAATGTCCAGGACTAGAAGGAGACCTGGGTCCTGATTCAGAGAGGGAATGACTCCCAGAAACCCACAAAACAGTAACTACCTATTATAAGTCTCCTCTATCTGCTAACTTTATTTGAACTCACCCTTGTAAGAAGTTGGCTCTGTAGAAAGTCTTTACTTCCCCTTTTAACCTCTCCATCCACGCATCTAACCATCTGTTCATGCACTCCTCCATTCAATAAACTGATATTGTGTATGTGGACAGAGGCACTTGGACAGAGCTGTAGCTACAAGAATGAACTAAGCTGATTCATATGGCCCTTGGCCTTAGAGAATATGCTATCTGGTGAGGAAGTTAGACATGAACAAATAGTTACATAAATAAATTATTTCAAACAGTCAGAGGTGTGTTCTAGAAGAAAGACACCCAGTTCTCTGAGAATCATAACAGGGGGTTTTAATGAATACACACCTGTGTGGCCTAGAAGGGCCATGAACTGGATCGTCACCTCCCTCTGTTTAGATAGTATATTCCTATTAATGCAGCCCAGGGCTTAGAAGTCCCTATTATTCCCACTTTCCCTAGGCAGACAGGCCAGGAAAAAGAATAAAAACAGTGCCAGAGGAAGGACCAGGGACTGGAGCTGGGGGTACTGAAAGGAGGGGCAGAGTGTGGGAGCAGGACACCAAGGGCAGAGGATCTGGATGAAGTTGCATCAGGAACTGGCACGGAGGTGCTGGAGGAAGGTAGGGAGATGGCCTCAGGAATCTGGAATTAGGGAGAAGCACTTGAGTAAAAGGAGGCTGGCAGTGAAGGAGAGAGAAAGGCAAGTCCAGGAGGAGGAATAATTGCCTCCAGCAGCTCCTGGGCAGGAGCAGCTCCCCAACAAAGGCTAGGAGAATATGTGGCCGGGCTGCACCAGCTCGCTCAAAGGAAAGGTGAGGGTGCAGTGGCTTTACTGGTGAGCAGTGCGCCACCCTGCTCTCTGTGGAGAGGCCTGCCCTGCTGCCAGAGGTCGGGTGAAGAAAGGGTGGCTCATTCTATTCCACAGGGAGGAATTAAGGCTTAGAGAAAGCTTTGAGCAATGGTGGTGTTGGTAGCTGGGACTCCCCTCACCTTGGCACCAACCATCAGGTGACCCGATGAAGACCCACAGTTCCCTGTCTCAAGGAAGCCTGGAGGAGTATGGAGAGGTGACCCATGGTCTGGCTTGTGAGGAGGGCATCAGCTGGCAATTTTAGCCACTTCATAGTTTTTAGCTTTAATGGAAGGAGCTAGTCCACATGTGTAGGAGGTTTTAAGGGACACCTGCAGTGGGTGAGCCTTACTTTTCCAAGGGAAAGGAGAAGGTGAAGGAGAAGAAGGGGAAGAATCTTTGCCTGCTTCCTCCTGGCCCACCCTCAGCATCAAGTCATGCCTGTCCAGACCCAGTGTCAGAATCAGGAAACTCCTCCAGCAATGAGCAAACACCCGGCCCACTGGAAGTCATCAAGCGCAATCTTCCACCATGCATTTGGGGGAAGTGCTGCCCAGAGAGGGAAACAGGCTTCGCTAAGGTCACACAGCTTACCCACTACAGAGGTGAGGCTGGGTGGCCTCCCTCATCCCTGCCAGAGCCGATCATGAACACTACAGTGTTTGTCACTTGCTAGATGCCAAGGCCTTCTTCACATCCCTCCCCGGCCCACTCCTGGACAGATGGGAGGAACCCCAGAAATGAATGCAAATATTTACTAGTAAAAACATTTGAAAATCCATCATCATAACAACAGCTCCTATTTACTGAGCACCTACAATGTGCCAGGTCTGGGCTAAGTGCGTCACATGCACCCTTTCAAGGAATACTTCCTGAAGCTTGTCTGTGAGGTAGGACCCATTATAGCATTTTTACAGGTGTGTCTCAGAGAGATCCCATGATTTACAGCTGTTTCCTACTAATGATTGTTATTTATATCAATAATGACAGCAGTAAGTGTTTATCAAGCAGTTACTGTGTGCTAGATGCATGGATTACTGGTTCTCATGGATTATCTCGCAATTTTAGGTCAACATTAGCACCATTTGCACAATAGGAAGGAAAGAAATAAGATTATTGCCCAGGATCACACAGCTTGCAAATGGTAAGGAATTCAGAGTGTCTGGTTCTAAAACCCTTGACTTGACACTCTTATCCCAGAGCTAACAGGTCTCCCTAAAATAATAAGCCAAACTTGGGGTATCTAAACAATTTTCCAGAGAAAGAATGATGAGCCTATACTAGTTTTTCAAAGAGGTTTGTAATCCTAAAAGTGTTGAGGTCCTAACACTCAGATACTCTGCACAGGGCTGTACCTTGGGGTGATCCAGCCCTCACCTCATCCCTGCAGTGAAGTGGCACCAGCCAAGAAACCTGGAGTCACATTCCCCGTGAGGGAACTGATAAGCTCTATTTCAGGCCTGTCTCTGGAGCACCTAACACCCCACAGTATTTTTATCCACCCAACTCAGGCATCCAAGTGGTGATGACAGTCGTCCTCTGTGTTCCAGGTGACAGCCAGGGGCACCTGATTTTCTGGACTCTCACAAGCTCTAACCTAGACTCTTGGCCCAGAGACTGCCAACGTCGGAGAGAGATAGATGATTTAATCGATAGCAACTTACTCCCTGGCTAATGGGTCCGAAAACTCGAGAAGCCAGGCTTCTGTGTCGAAGCATTCATAACTTCTCCATCCCAACGACTCAATTGATCGTCAAATGCCGTTTACCTCTGAGTGATCATTGGTGAATGCGAGGTAGGAGCAGCCCCTGGCCAACACCGCCCACCCATAATAGCTCATGATTGTCCTATGGGCAGCTGGCGCTGGGCGCAAGACTGTACAAGATAACTGATTGTTCATAATTGTCAACCAAATTGCATCCATGGTATCGAGCTTAAAAAATGGGCCCAAAGATGCATCTCCTATTGATCTCTTCAGGTTATAAACAAGACGCGGCTGCTCCTTGGAACCAGGGACCTGGCTGCCATTGATTTGTATTCTTTTTCTCCTTTGAATAGCCTGCAATGGCACTTGAGGGCTGAGTTTTAACCTGAAATTTCTCAGGGTCTTGCTTTTCTGGAGTTTGTCAGGGAGGGGCCCTCAGAGGGGCCCTGTTCCAAGATGCAGTCACGCAGGCTGAGAGGTTGGCTTCCTCGCTGGAAGGTGGTAAAGGGCTGTCCACTCCCTCTGACCTTCCTGGGTCCCTCACCCTTCTGGGTCTCCAGTTCCAAGTCCTCTCAGCTGTAAAATGCTCCACAAAGTCCAACTCAAAGGACCCCTGGGGCAGTGAGTGACCGCGTATCTGGTGCTCAGCCGATGTTGCCCATGAACATGCAATGGAACTACATGGCAGTGACTCTCCCTGCCTTCCTGGACTTCTAAATGTCTGATGATACAGGAGTTCGGGCTTTGCCACATCTGGAAAAATGGTAAGGATAATAATACCTAACACACACTCACATCTTTAGAACATGACTTTATTCTCACGAGAGCTCTGTAAGTACGATCCTTTCCTCATTTTACAGCTGAGGAAACTGAGGCACAGAGAGGCAAAGTGAGGTGTCCAAAGCTGCACGTGAGCCAGCAAAGCCCACCCAAAGTTGTCCGTTCTTGACATGGAAGAGCAGATCTCTATGCCATGCACCTCCCAGGCTGGCAGGCAGGCCGAGCAGGAAGGATGGAGCCTGGCTTCAGGCCCCTGGCGGGCCCTCTCCCCACCTCACGCTCGCCCTTGGTAGAGCAGCTATCACGGCCATCTTACTGCTGGGAAATGGAAGCCCCGAAAGCTGATGTGACTCCCCCACGGCCACACAGTCACTCGGGGGAAGAAGTGAGATTTGAAGCCAGGCCAGTGTGTCCCCAGAGACCAGCTCTTTCCTCACTAGCCAGTAGCAGCTTCCGGAAACAAAAAGAGTGATGACACTGAAATCCGCCTAACACGCAGGCCTCAGCGTTTATAATCCACATCCATTCCCTTCTCTCACCAGACAGGAGTTATCTAATCACTCCCATTTTGCAGGCAAGGAAACTGACATCACACCCGAGAGGTCATTTCTCCCCTTGGCTCTTGGTCAAGTCACTGCTCAAGCCTATCAGGTTCCAGGAATGTTTTCCAGCAACAGGCGGCTGGAGAACTGGCAGCAGCAGCGATAGCTGGCTCAGGTGGAGGGTGTCTTCCAAGACCCCAGGGGATGGCCTGGAGTTCATTTCAGAAGTCGGGGCTCAGCCTCAGGCTAACGAGCCACATTTTGGCAGGGCATCTGCGAGGAGTGGGGCAGGAACCACACAGCAGGGCCCTGCTTAATGAAATCGCCAGCTGGGAGGTGAGGGGCCTGCCTGCCCTTTAGATCCATCTTCGCAACTCCTGTACCCCTCTGCCCTCCCCCTGCTGGGTGGGCCCAGGCAGCAGCTGTCTCTTTAATAAATCTCGGCCATGATGCTCCAACGCCCAGAAACTGAGATAGGGCCTGGACTGCTTCCTGCACTGGGGCCCTCTGGCTACCTGCAGCACGGAGCTGTCCCCACAGGTGACTCCAGACCTCCAGAGAATTTCCTCTGCAGGGGGGTCCTGCCAGAAGGGAAATATGGCCTAGTCTGACTGGTAGCTTGCCTGCTTTTATTTAGTCCCCTTTAACATGCGTTGATGTTTGGGATTGGTCTCAGCACCTGCTTTATTTAAAACCCACTTTCTTGATCTCCACAGGAATGGGCAAATGCTTATTGTGCCTGGTTTTTGATGGCCCAAACCTGAAAACAATCTCAACGTAGCAATAACAGGGGATCTATTTAGAGAAACACTGAGTGCCTGAAAGACCCCTTCTTCAGGGTGAGCCTGCATCACAGTCACCGGAGGGTAGGGCTTTTAAAAACAGATTCCTGCCCCCATCCCCCATCCCCTGCACATCCCCAGATCTAATGCCGTCCTTCTGGGGAGGGGCATGAGAATTTGCATTTCCGGCAAGTTCCCAGATGATGCTGGGATGAATGTTCAAGAACCACTACTAGTCTGCGCTGCAGAATACGATGACTTTAAAAATAGTGCTGTAGAAGAATATATGTTGATTGGAGAAAATACACGCTATGTTACTGAGTGAAAAGGGTGGGCTGGCAGCAGGCTGGCGGTGCAGTCAGCAGGGTGTGGGGCCCCATAGATGCTGATGCAGGCAGAGGGCAAGGCGGTGAGCTGTTGGTGCACAAGGGGAGGCTCTGCAGAGGGGCTGGCCCAGGTTTTGGTTCCAGCTCTGTTGCTTAGTGTGACTAAGTGTGAGTGACCTTGAACAAACTGAGCAGTCGCTCTGAGCTTCCATTCCTCATCTGCACAGTTGGTGTGACTGTACTGCCATCTTCCAGGGTTGGGAGGACAAAATAAGATGGTGTGTGGGAAGCTCAAGTGCAATGGGTGGTCCGTATTGTAACAAGCTACTCATGTATCCACACATTAATAAGGCGAATATCTGTGGATTTAGGTCAATTTTTAAGATTTGTTTTTTCCTGTATTTTACAAGTTTCCAGGTTGAGCATATGTTACTTTTATAATTAAGGCAAAACCAATAAATATTACATGTATACTAATTACCTCCCAAATCCCCAAGTTCTTTTGTTCAGATTTCTTCAGACATAGGCAGCATTTAGAAAACAACCCCGAACCTTTGAAATTGAAAAAAAAAAAATCATTTCTAAAGGCAGATTAAAAATGTGGGAAACTTTGAGAAGCTTAACACACTCTAAACCCTGCCAACCCCATCACTGAGGACCATGGTCCTTTGAAGCTAATCTTGGCAGCAGACAGCCCTCGTGGGCTGCTCACAGGCTCTGTCCAGAAGGTTCGAGATGATGGGTCTCAAAAGTGGGTGCTGGGGCCAGTGTATGAGGAATAGGGTCTTCTTTCTTTAATACAAGCTCTAAAGCAGAGGTTGCAGCCAGAGGAAGGGAGACATCAGGATAGAGCCTCAAGAGGTCTCTACTTCCCACTTCCTTTGTGGGAAACACCAGTCAATAGCTGTACCCTTTGGGCCCATTTGCCTGCTGGTAGGTGGAAGGACAAGTGAGACATGGAGGTTCCCAGGCTGGGGCAGCAGGGCTGAGAGGAGCCTGGCAATGCACTGTTCCAGAAGCTGCCCCTGGCTCCTGCTTTTCCTCTCACCAAGCCCGGTCCCCCATGGACTCAGACCTTCCTGTCCCTAAGTCTCAGCTCTGTGTGGGGCTCCCTGTGAGGGTCCTCTGCTCCTCTCCACAGTATTAACAATAGACTAATAATCTTTGTGTGTTCACTCACTTCATGTCAATTTTCTGCTAAGCACACCTGGTATTAATTCATTTAATCTTCATGATACCTGGCTGACTCTGTGACCCATTCATAGTTTAGTACTATATCACTACCTCCACCCTGCATCACCGTGCACCTGCTCTCCTTGGTAATGTAAGTCTCCTGCTTTTTCTAGCCTCTGGCTTCAACTCCACTTCCTCATTTGTCTTTGGCGTTTCTAGGAGGCCCCATATGGTCTGAGCCCTGCTTTCTTCTTCAGGCCTATCTCCTACCACGCTTTCCTTAACTGTGCCTGCTGTAACCATACTGCTCTCTATTCCTCAAATCCGCTCTGCTCCCTTTGCCTCAGGGCCTTTGCACATGCTGTTTCCTCTGCTCAGCTTGCTGAGTTTCCCTTTTATGCAGTTAACCCCAAATCACCCTTCAAATCTCAGCTCAAGTGTCATTTCTTCAAGAAAGGCTTGTGTGATTTCCTAGCCTAGCTCAAATGTCTCTATTGGGGATTTCATAGCATCATATCCCTATCTATCATCGCACTTGCGGTTTTCATTATAAATACATTCACACAGTCTCTTTGTTTAATGTCTTCCCAACTGTTCTATAAGCCCACGAGGACAGACACAAGATGTATTGCACTCTGCATCATGTTACCCACTAGTGCTCTGAGCTCTCTTCAGACCTAGCCCCACCTGGGTACCCAAGTCTCCGCTTGCTCTGTGTCTCTTTGCTCTCCCTGTCTCCAGGCTCTCTCTGTGTGATCTCTTTGGGCTCTGCTTCTTTGCAGCTCTGCAGCCCCATCTTACTCTACTGAGGGCCCACCTGTTCAATGGCTCCAGGGCAAGGTGGCACACCCCATCTGGGTTGTGGGCAGGCAGGGGAACATCACACTTTCCCAAAACTGCCTGACCCTGCTGAGCTCCATTTCCCTCTATGAAGGAGAAATGATAATTGCTCAGAGCCCCAAGGTGCCTCTGGGGTCCACACAGCACCCAGTGGCAAACCTCACAAGTTCAGGGTTTGGTGGGGCTGTGGGCCTACAGATACGTGATCTCGGGGACCACCTCCAGGGGAGCCAGGGTGCTAGGTAATTGCTTCAAGACCATTACAGGGAATGGGGAAATCTCATGCCTCCCCCCTCCCCAGGCCCATGTATGGTCTTTTGACACTTTCCCAAATGATTTCAAGTGACCATGTGGCAAACGTCTTTGTGTTTAAAGAAAACTGCAGGGCGTTGTAGGAAGTGGAACAGTTGCTTGGCAGTACGTCAGGGAAATTTTGCTCCTTTCTTTAGTTTCATGTTGTGTGTAATTTTTTTTTCCTGATGAAAACTGCATGTGGTTCTAGGCAAAAACAGGTCTGGATGGGCTGGAGTGAGAACTTGTCAGTTTGAGTTTTTGCAGAAAAATTTGACACTTTCCCCAGGATGGGGAAACCCAGGGTCCAGGGGGACAGCCCTGGCAGTGCTTCAGCAGCAGGTCCTGGGGGTGGGTGGGGCACCTGCGTGGCCCCTCCAGGGCTGCCCCATTAAAGTCCAGTGCAGGCATCAAATGTGAGTGCTGCGGTCACACTAGAATTCCTAGTAACTGCATTTTTAAAAGTAAAAATAAATACGTAAGATGGATTTTGTCACTATATTTGATCTGATATCTCGAAATTATTACCATTTCAACATGCAACCAATGTATATGTTATTAATGAGATGTTTTACATCCTGTTGTTCATTCTAACTCTTTGGAATCTTTGGTTTTACCCTAATAGGGCATGTCCCTAGGACTGGCCACATTCCAAGTGCTTGGTAGCCACATGGGGGTGGTGGCCACTGTCACACAGGTAGTCTCAGGCCTCTTTAGCTGAGAGCTTCACCCCTGCAATTAAATAAGGGTCCAAGCTGTGTTGTCTTTCTCAGACTGTTTTAGTGGCTTTTCTGCCCCCAGCTGGCTGCCAGTTGACCAGTGCCCAGGACCTAGGCCTGCACCTTCTTGCCTGCTCCCTCAGCAGCAATGGCATCCTGCCCCTTTAAATCATACCCTGTGCCAGTGAAGCCCACATCTCTGCCTCCAGCATGAACTCTGGCTCAGTACAGCCCACTGCCTGCTTAGCAGAGCCCACCGGGAGGCTACCAGCCCTGTCAAGGTGAGTGTGTCTGACACAGAACTGCCGTCCCTCTAGATCCACCTCAACATCCACTTTCCCTGGCTCAGTGTCTGGGACCACTCCACCAAGGTCACATAAAGGTCACCCTCAAGTCATTCCTTATCTCATTCCTACCTCCCACCCTCTCGTGGCCTCTGCCTCTAAAGTATATCTCAAGTCAGTTTGCTTATTCCCACCATGACCACTCTGGGGACCCAGCCACGATTTCCCTCCCACCATGGTCACCAGCTGGCCTTCTGCAGCCCTTCCCCCAAACACAATCAGGACAGTTTAAAAATATGAATCGAGATACATCTCTCCTCTGCTTAAAATTCTCCAGGCACTAAGAATACATTCCAAACTCATGTAGCATAGATGACAAAGCCTGAGCACCTGGCCTTTGTCCTCTGTGTCTCCCACTCTCTGCTCTCCCACCCCTCCAGCCACATCGGACCCCTTTCAGGAGCACTTCAGGTTTCTTCCAGCCCCCTGAGTCTTTGCATTTGTTGTTCCCTCTGCTTAGCCCTGCCCTTCTCCCATCTCTTCCCATCACCGGCTGCATCTCATCCTTGACATCTCCATGCAAGAGCTGCTTCCCAGTGGGCCAGGCTAGTCCCACGCCCCTTCCCCAATCATGATCACATCACCCTATTTTATATCCTTCAAGCCATTTATGGCCACCTGGAATATTCTTGTTTATTTACTCACTGGCTTGTATTTCTCTATTTCTATCCACACTTTCATAGGCTCCATGAAAGCAGGGATACTTTATGGCTTTTCAACGCCTGTCAGAGAGTAGGTGCTAACTAAAAAATTGTTAAATGAGCAAATGATGCTGAATTTGAATCTTATCCCTACCCTTTAATTACTGTGTAATCAGGGGCAAGTAACTCAACCTCTCTGAGCTTCATCTATAAAATGGAAATAACAATATTAGTAATAGCCACATTTGTCAGCTTTTGCTGCAGTAACAACAACCCCAATATCTCATGGCTTATCCTAACAGACATTTATTTCTTGCTCTCATTACATGAGGACTGCTGCTGCACTTGGTCAAACTTGGCTGGGCTCCACATGTCGAATCCCAGGTCTTAGACTGAATAATGGCCATGATCTAGAATATGCTGCTCTCATGGTGAAGGGAGGGAGAAAAGGGAAGGCAGAAGATGCTCTCAAGGGACTCTTCTGAGAACGAGAGTACTGCCCCACCTGCCTATGTCCCAGTGGTCAAAGCCAGTTACCTGGCCAAGCCAGAACAATGAATCCAGTTTACACGAACCTCTTGCAAGGAGAGGAGAGAATAGTTGAGGACCAGAGTCCAGTTCACAGTCATAGCTAGCACTGATTTAGCACTCACTGTATACCAGGCTCTACTCCAAGCCCGGAGACAGCTGCTATCATCACTGCTGTACAGATGAGGAAGCAGAGTCACACACAGTCCAGTCACCAGTCAGGAGGAGCCGCCTCGGCGCTGGCTCACAGTGATTGTACGCCTTGGGATTGCATGTTCAACCCCGGTGAATATTCTCTTCAGCCTGCTCCTGCTAGCTTTTCAATAGTGATTCTTTCTAGGAAGTTCCCTTCTTCACACCAAGAAGGATTTTTCTGACCCCACCTATCCTGGCCTGGTCCATGTGATATCAGACCAGGAGCTAAGTCAGGGATAAGAAAGGAAGAGCAACAAACAAACGTCCACAGGGTAATCCATGTCCCTGTACATCCCAGCTAGATGTCCTTCCACAGAGGGAGGAGATGTCCCCTCAAAACCCAGAGGAGGCCTTCACACCCTGTGCTGCCTAGCAAAGTTCAATCATGTCTGACCCTGGGGTCATGTCCTCCATTGACCTGAAAACCTCACCATCCTTTAGGGAGACAGGAACAAACAATAAGTGTCTTGTGTTCAAGTAGACACGGGTGTTCATATTCGCCAAACAGCCCTACAAGATAAGTACCATCATCCCATTTTATAGACAAGAAAACCAAGGCTTTGAGAAATGAAGCAACTTGCTCAAGATCCCAAGGCACAAGCCACAAAGCTAGAAATCAAGTCCAGAGACAACCCAGGCTCAAAGGGGTGCTCTTCCTGGGGATGAAGGAGCTTTAATCACCGATGAGAGTAAGCACACTTGCCCTTCACTGGAGAGCTCCACGGGGACTGGTTTCACACCAAATCACACTTACCAGGCTTGTCTCCTTGCATAGTAATGGGATGGCTCGTTTATTCACCTGGTCTCTGACACACTCTTATTCGTTCACTCACCCATTCACCTACTCACCAACTCCTCCACCCATCCAGTCGTTAATTTACTTCTTTATTTATCCACTCGTTCTGCAAGCCCTGTCCAGCTATGCCTCACCTCTGGCTTGTATGGAAATTCAAGTTTCCAGGGTGGGGGACCTGGGTCAAGCCCAAATTGAGGGATTGGCAAAACCAAGCCCACTCCAGGTAACACCAAAAGGGGTGGGGAGGAGGCCTGAGCACAAACAGCATGTTGGGAGGGCAGCTTCAGGGGGCAGGTACTGTTCCAGGGATGGGGGGTGGTGACAGTGGCCCAGCCCTAAGCTTGGTGCAGCAGCAGGAAGGAAGCTCTCCCCTGAATCCAGAGGATTTGGAAGCCTGAAGCTCTGAGCACCCTTAGATCTTGACACAGAGGTGGGAGGGCACCCTAATCAGGGGATACTCAGGAAACGAGAGGGACTGGTCACCCCAGCCACCAGCTACAGAGAACCCCCATTGCCCAAAGGCCCAGGCGGGCAGCACTGGGGCCTGTCCTCTCTCTCTGCTCAGCCTCTTTTAACCAGGGTTGAATGGCAGCTGCTAGAATAGGACTGAGAAAATGTGGGCGTAGGGGAGGCCATGCCAGCATCAACCTCAACTATCCAGATAAAACATCTAGAAAGACAATGTTGACACATCAACCAGATGCGTGTCTGCACAAAATCCACTGTCTGCAGTTCTGGAACCATCTGCATGGCCCATCAATATCTTCCTGTGCAGATACTGGGTGTCGTGGCAGCCCCACCAGAGACAGTGAGCAAGGGGAGAAGAGGAACAGAAGGGCGAGGGGAGGGAGGGAGGAGATGTTTGCCAAATGATTAAAAAATTAAAGGGATTTTTATGCAGAGAAAATATTTAGCTTGGCATTGTCTTCTCAACCAAACGCTGGCTTCCAAGAGAAAGCACTGGCACGGGCAGCAAGCAGTTGCTAAATGGAAACAATTGTCGCCTTCCCAGCAGCCATAGAAAATGCTTTTGTTTGGGCTGGTGGTGCCTGGGCCAAAAACAGCGTCTTCGGAAGCTGCCCCCAATTTCTGGGAGGCCTCGGGAAGCAGGGACTCTCCTGAAATCCATTGTCCCGCCAGCACCTGCTAGTCTTCCAGGTGATGCTCCACAGAATGGCTGCATCCCTCTCCAGGGGCCCAGGTGGGGGCCGGGGGAGGCCAGTGAGAGGCAGGGAAGGGGGGCGAGGAGGGAGGCAGACAGAGGCAGGGAGGGAGGGCGAGGAGGGAGGCAGACAGCTGCTACGTGGAAAAGACCTGAGCACAGAGGATGGTGGAAGAGCTCAATAGAATCCCACACAAAGGCGTGACCTCCCGCTACCATCCCCAAACTTGGCTCCACCTGAGGAGCACCTGGAAGAGCCTTTGGATGGTCACAATAGAGAGCAGCCCAGGCTTTCAGTCCTTGGTCTCTCATCTACAAACAAGGCTCTGGCAGAATTCTGTTTTATAGGGAGAGGAAATTGAAGCCCAGAGCAGCCGAGCATTTTTCCCAAATCACAGATCTTAGGGAAGAGGATTGAAAATCCAAGGCCAAGGGCTTCCTCATTAGGCAAAGAAACCCCACAGAGGCAGTGTCTCAGGTGGGCCTGGGAACACGCACTGCTGCGTGCCCCAGTCCCTGACCCAGCACTGAGCTCTGAACCACCTTCTCCTCTCCTCCAGGCAGGCCCACCGCAGGGCCTTTGCACTGGCTGTTTCCGCTGCCTGACAGACTCTTCCCTTGTCCCTGGGACTCATTCTTTTGCCTCCTTTAAGTGTCACCTGCTCATGCCTCTCAACTTAAAACGCCAGGCTACTGCTTCTCCTCCCCCCCCACTGATAGCCAATCCCCCCAACACTATCTGCACCATTTTCCACACTGGGCCTTTTCCATGTTCTCTTGTTTGTCGTCCTGCCCTCCCTCGTTCCCCCAGAAGACAAGGTCCACAAGGATGTTCACGCCTTTTATTCACGTCTGTGTTCTCAGTGTCCAGGACAGGGCCTGGAACACAGGAGGCCTCTGTAAATATAGTTGAGTGAATGATTGAGCTGCCATCGACGTGACCTGGGCACGAACCAGGACAGAATGGGGTAGGGAGGTGAATTCTAAGCCTACACATCTTGGATGGCAAATCCCCTGCCCCCATGAACAGAAAGATGCATTCAGGAAGTCAGTGAGAACATGAGGAAGACAAGAACCAGACTCAGGCAGGCTGCTCCTCCTCCGGCTCTCTGCTGAATGTCCAGCAACGTCTCCCTTGTGCTGGGGTCGAGCCACAGCCATGACACCCACAGCGCTGGCCCTCACCTCACTCGCCTCTTTCCATGGCCCTGCTCTCAGTGGCCCCTCTAGGCCGAGCTCAGAGCAATACCCAGAGGAAGGGGTGGGTGATCATGGAAGGAGGAGACAGAAGATCAGGAACAAGATGGGACCTGGGGTGGGGGCGGGGGAGGGTTGAGGACACCAGAGTGGGTGGCTGAGGACACCAGAGGGCCGAAGAAAGGTCTCCAAAGGGACCTAAGGGGCTCCACAACTTTTGTGTCCCTCAGAGCACACACTTGTATTAGTGATCAACTTTGGTTCATGACACAGTTTCATCAGATCCTCTTTCACCCATTTAACAATGAAAACAACAAAGAACTCACTCACGCAAATTAGAGGTGACTGGTCCTTTACCCAGGAGCTCTCCCTAGGCCCCGCCCCCTGCCCCCAGGGGTAATTATGATGCTGAGTGGCCCTCCCCTCCCCTCCTCTTCTCTCCCTCCCCTCCCCTCCCCCCCATCTTTCCTTCTCCACCTTGCCCCTCCTCTTTCCTCGCTCCCCTCCTTTCCTTTCTCGCTCCCCCCTCCCTTGGCTGTAGCACATGCCTCATGCCTAAACTATTGTCATTTTGTTCCTTTTTGATCTTTTTAAACAAAGCCCCAAATGGAACGCAGTCCTCTGAGACTGGCTTTTTCACATTCTGTGGCTTTACCAGGATTTATCTGACCTAGTGTGCGTCGCCGCAATTCATTCATTTTTCATGGCTTTATATCATTCTACAGTGTGAGCTTTAGCACAATTTATTTAGCCGTTCTAAATCTTGCAGCGCTGGATGTTTGGGTGGTGTCCAGGCCTTGGTGTCTTCGTGTTTACTTTCTGAAGGCTGCTCGCGCCTTTGTGTATGTGTCTCCCGGGCACAGGTGCGGGGCTCGTGGGCGGGGATCTTTGGGATGATCGGTTTTATAAGACAATGTCAAATTGCTTTCCAGGGGCGTTGTGCCAGTTTTCACTTCTTCTGTCCCACTTCTGCGAGTGGTCTGTCTGCTTGGCACCTGTAGACCAAGACTACCTGGTTCCCACCTCTCTGCTCATTGTTTAGTTCAGCCCCACCTTCCCTCAATCCACATGTGAGGCTGCCCAGTGTCTCAGATGAAAGTGCAAAATCCACTCACCCAGCCCAGGGTTAAGCCTGAGGGCTGAGGGACTTCCTGGTGGCACAAGGGGTTAAGCACAGTGCTGTGAAGCTATCTGCAGCCTCTGCAGCACAAGTTCGATCCCCAGCTGGCCAGGGAGCTACCCACATGGCACAGCAGACCTCTCCTCACTGCTCCCCTCAGCAGTGTATTTCAGTCATTCTGCCTGTTCTGTTCCCCACTGTTTCTGGTGAATCCTCTCACCCCCCATATCTCTGGTCTGACCCCAGTTCTTGTAGGCATAAATAAATATTAAAAAAAAAAAAAGCCTAAGGCTGAGGTAGGCTGTGGGTTCAACTCCAAGCTCCTCCACATTCCGGCTGTCTCATTAGGAATATTATTTAACTTTAGGGGCCTCAATTTTATCATAAAATGAGGTTGTTAATAAGACCTACCTCATATGGCTATTATGAAAATCAGGTGAATTAATGAGAAGCACTCAGAAAAGTACATGGCAGAGTAAAGCTCTCGATAAAAGTTATCTAATGTTATTGTTTTATACCCCATCCCTTACATTCTCTTGTCCCTTTCTTTCAGCCTCTAAGCCATAGGTTGTGAGTCTTTTACTCTGTGAAATCATCCACTATGGAAATGTCCACTATTTGTCTTTGTCATTCTGACTTGCTTGACTGCACATCATTCCCTCGAACCCCCTCCATTCGGCTGTAAATGGCTGCATTTCATCTTTCTTTACAGCTGAATAATATTCCATAGTGTGGATGCACTTCTGGCAGTGTCTGAGATGCACCACCACACCCTCTTCTACAGGTGGCATCCTTAGGCTTCTTGCTTTTTACCAACTGAATGGGCATGAGCGGTATCACATGCTAGTCCCCCAGCCCATCACAGTCCCTTGCATCTTCACTGTTCTCCTGCTCACCTGGGGATGCAGTATTCAAGTTCGTTTTTCTAACACCTAAACAAGACCTGCCAAGCCCAATCCTTTATCCGAACTGAGCTCAGGGCCCAGAGCCCTCATGCAGGTGTCCTGAAAACTCCCTCCACCACCACTTCTGGTGCCACCAGGGCCCTTTCTTTCTCTCCTTCACTCGTCTCCTACAGCACACACATGTAGTTCCTGGTCCCCAGGTCACTTGCACACCCTCCTAAATCCAAATGTCTATTTTCTTTAGAAGTCCCACAACCAATGGGGGAGAGCGGGAATCACATCCTAAGTTACCTACTAGTTTTCTGACCAGTATTTTTGGGGGAATAATCCGCAGGTATCTGCCACATCTCTTCTGGTCTGCCTGGCCTTCCTCGGCCCCCTGGGCGCACTAACATACCAGGTCCCTGACCCCAGGCTGACAGGCCAGCCATGACAAGATGGAGAGCAGGCCCCATCGATGTCAGCAATGTGTTCGGCTGCCTCTGAATACCTGCCCCAAATCTCAGCCAGCTTCTCTGGATGGTTCTGCCACTGCCTAGGACCTGAATCCCCACCCTCCTTTGGTGAGCTTACTAGGCTCACCCAAAACTCTTTGATCAGCACAGTTGGGAGCAGATGCCAGGTCTCTTTACCCCCAATCTGGTGCTCCTCCCTCCACAAGCATGCAAGTCCTGCCTTCATTTTGCAGCTACCAGGACAGGGAGAATTTGACCCCACCCTCTGCTCTCACTTCCCCCAGCCCTGCTCTCTCCATCTTTAGCACACATGAGGTCTCGCCTGGCTGGTCAGAGTGCCAAGGCCTCCATCACCTTCTGCAGAGGTAGCTGGCACCAGCCGCCGGCACACAGGCACCTCTGCTGGGTTGGCATCGAGGGCTCATTAGTCAAGATGCTACAGACATCTCCAAGTTCATTTTCTACTTCTACCTTTGGCTGTCTCTCCCTGTCCCCATCTCTCTGTCAAGTCAAGGATTCTTCCTCAAGCTCTCTTGATCAAGAGGAAATAAGAGCACTTGAACTGGGGACTCCAAGTTCACTATTCAGGCTCAGGTGTCTGTTCTTTGCACAGACATTTAATCCCAACCTAATTGCTCTCCTGAACTCTCCCACAAATGCCGAGAGTTGGCACCTAGCAGGTGCCTGGTAAATATTTGTTGAATGAATGAATGAGCTGTTTTCCTTCCTTTTCCTGGGAACACAGTCCCTAAGGGGTTTCTCCTAAACGGCGCCATATGTTATGCCCACTCCTTGCGCCTTCGTCTCTGATCAACCAGCATCAAATCCTCCAGCTGTTTCCCTCAGTTGCTCCTGTTTTCTGTCTCCCTTTTCTGGGGATTCTTGCCCCACCTCTGCCAAGCACCGGGTCAGGGCGGGGAGGGTGGCCCAGTGGCTGTGAGCAGGGGCTTTGCTGTCCGGAGCAGAGCTGTGTAAGTAAGAATCAGCACTTGTACCTTGAGTGACACATTTGCATTCCCCTCCCTGACATGCCTTCCTCCCGCTCCATCACTCTGCCTCTAAACCAAGCGTAATTGCTCAATCTAATTTAATCGAAGTGCCGAATGGCTGAGTCGAGTGAACTCTGCTCAGCCTCCCCAGGGGCAGGTGTGATGGGCATGTTTGGAGCCTCCTGCTCACTGGGTGGGCCCCAGGGAGGGAGGCAGAGGTAGAGGGCCTGGCACAGAGGCCCTGCTGCGGTCAGAGCTGCCTCGACAGTCTTCACCTGCTCTGGCCAGGGGACAGGTAGGGACCGGTCCCTGGAAGGGAGCCCTGGTAGATGACCCCTCCCCTGGGCTGGGCAACCCCCCACCCAGCCTTCCCTCCAGGTTTCAGGCATTGCTTTGTTCATGCAAACCCTCCTCCTTGCTGTCAACTGGTCTAGGTCCCAACCGGTTTCCTCTGCCCCTCCCCCACACCTCTTCTTCTCCCCAGGCCACAGAGCTTCTTCAAAACTGTGAGTCCTAGTATCACCCTGATTCACCTCTCAACCGCCAGGGTCCCCAAGGCCACCAGGCTGGTGACTGAGTCGCATCCCACCCACTGCGTAGGGCCGGAGCCTACCCTGGGTGCCCGCCAATTCCCGGGAGACAGCTCTCATGGCCCCTCTCCTCCTGATTTCCTGCTGAGTTCCAAGTCACTCTGGGAGGTGCCAGAGTCCTCTCCTGGCAATGAGCACAGCCCCTTCCTCTGGGTTTTGCAAAGCCCAGACTTGTGTGTAGCTGACTTGCCTGAAGTTTGGGAGGCACAGATGGGGAGACCTTGCATCTGGCCGGAGCTGTGCGTATGGAGACACTTGACAGGTCAGACTTTGGGCAGTCAGTCCTCCTGGGAGGCTGAGGCTCCACTAGACTGCCAGCTCCTTTCCTCCCATCTATTCCCAGCCCAACCCTGAGACCTAGCTTTCCTTTGTCTTAGCTACCCCTAAAACCCCACATTTTCAGAGGGCATTTCACATCTTTTTTTCCCTCTCTTTTTTCTGGCTTATTCTGGTCATGTCTTCAGATAGGGAGGATGGCAGTGAACTTCAATGTTTACACCCGAAAGATCTTTAAAACTCTTTCCTAGACAAGGGCAGGTCTTCCAGAAGAATTCTGGCTTTTAAAAATAAATTGTCATTTAAAAAAATCTACATGATCACATTCATTGCACTTGATTGTCCATCAGCATCTAACCAGCAATGTGGAAATGGCAAGGACATGGTCCCTATTCTTTGGGGGTTCCAAGTGGGGCAGGAGAATGTAGTGACACAGTTACAGCAAAGGAGAAAATGTTCTACCAGGGGCCTGAGTGCTCGTTTCCACCTGTTAGTGTATATATATTTATTTCTGTGTTCACCTGTCTGTGTCTCCATGGGGACAAGGGACTGTGTCTGCTGTGTCTTGCATGGTGTCTGGAATACAGCAGGTTTTCAACAAATACTTAGTGACTGATGAATCTGCCCTCCGTACATGCATGTGCATGCGTGCAAGCTGTGTGCCTGTGTAGGGGAGCGTGTCTGTCTGCAAGCCTGTGCCCACCTGTGTGGGTAAGTCTGAGGGTCGTGTGAAGAGTGGGTACCAGTACTTGTATGTATGCATTTGGCTGCAAGTATTCAAAATGGCAGGAGTCTCGCTTCTTCTATTCACCCCTGCCCAGGTAGGATGAGCAGATCCCAGGTGGAATCCAGGGAAGGGAAGCTGGGGAATGGTCTGGGGGCAGGACGCTAGCTGAAGGCCAGCAGAGCAGACTCTGCCAGAGATTGCCCTGCAGTACCATTAAGGCCCGGATAGCCGTGGGCACCCCTGGCAAGGCAGACCCTCTGTGAGATGACTGCAGGTCTGAGCAGATGTAGCCATTACCCAAA